AAACCGAACAAACATTCCTAAAACAGAACATTTCAAACCAAATTCTGCTGGTGTACTGTATGGTCAGCTTTATTTTTTGTTTTATTTCAAGGAATGGGTGCTTGATGGGGAAACCCTATCGCAGAGCTATTGGGTTTCTCCTGGCAGGGGGAGTTACATAGTTAGTCTGGCTGAAAAAAGACAAAAGTCCATCCAGTTCAACCATTAAAAAAAAAAAAGGTTATAATCATATACCCACAGTTGATCCAGAGGAAGGCAAAAAAAACCCCAGCAAAGCATGATCCAATTTGCTCCACCAGGGAAAAAAATTCCTTCCTGATCTCTCGAGAGGCAATCGGATATTCCCTGGATCAACTTTACCTATAAATGTTAGTATCCAGTTATATTCTGTGTATCTAAGAAAGAATCCAGGCATTTTTTAAAGCAATCCACTGAGCTGGCCAGAACCAACTCTTGAGGGAGTCTATTCCACATTTTCACAGCTTTCACTGTGAAGAAACCTTTCTGTGTTTGGAGATTAAACTAAGTTCCAGGGGGGGGGGGAGCCGGGGGAACACAGTGATTATTGTTATTGGCTTGGCTATAGCCACTGACAATAATCGCATGAAAAATCCGACAGTATATTAAAAGCCCCAGTCCTTCTGAAACACTTAAATATATTTAAAGGGGTTTCCTATTGCTTCCTATCCCTACAGGAAATGAGGTGAAATCTTTCCATAGGGGAAAAAAACCTGACGGAGCTTTTATCTGTTCCCTATTCTGTTCATAACTACAGAAAATTAAAGGAATCTTGGAGTTTAGTTTAAATACAGTATAGTTTATGATATTCATTGTTTTTACTTATTTTGGTATTCACTCAGAAGTTGCAAAAACATCTCATTACTTTTTCAGGAGCCCAGCTCTTCCTTCCTGCAGATGGCAGCCTCGGTGGAGCAACAGCTTACAGTCATATTCAAGGTGCTTGAAGAATATGACCTGGGTCCATTCTCTGTGGTGACCAGTCATTACCCAGGACACCAGCTTTTCCTGAAAACAGTGAGAGCCCTGTGTGAGGCTATTCAGCCAGGTTGGGGCCCCCAGGATGAGTTGATATTAGAACCAGGCACTGGTCCACACGGGACCCAGCATGTGCTTAAACAAGTATCTGCTCCAGTGTTTCTACTGTTCTGCTCTAGAGAGGAGGCTGAGGAGTTATTTTTTGTTGCTGGTGAAGCTGGACTTCTTGGACCTGCCCATATTTGGATTGTACCAAGCTTCACAATTGGTTCTCCAGAGCAGCCTGCTCATTTTTTCCCTGTTGGATTGGTAAGCGTTGTGACTGATGGCTGGAGAAGGAGTTTACGGCAGAAGGTACAGGATGGCATAGCAGTAATTGCTGCAGCAGCTAAAAACTATCTTCAGAGGCATGGTGAATTGCCAACTCCTGGAGGAACCTGCTTGGCCCCAATGCAAATCCAAGGAAATGACACCTTGTATAGGTATGTGTCGGGAAATTGTGTTCAGCACTTTAAACACGTCATCGTTTTTTGTTGTAAAGTAAAATTATTTTATGATATTAAGAGACTCGATACTCAAAGAAAAAGGGGGAATATATTTAGTGCAACGGTCGGTGGGGGTGGGGGCATGGGGACAGGGAATGCATGTCCACTGGATGTAAAAGTCTTGATAGGAGCAATCATGCAAAGTCGCTTAGACCACACAGGTCATTGAGATAAGTTCACTCAGCTGTTGCCTAGTCCTTAGAGCATGAAGCGACAGTGGAAGATGAGCACAAAAGGAAAAGGGGACAAGCACCAGCTAAGTGTAGCAGACAAAACTATTTTAATGTGTAGCCGCCATCACAAGTCTCCGTTCGCCAGGTGGAGAAACTACTGTGGTCCCGCTGATGGGCTGTGGGGGAGGCTGCCAGGGCTTCCTGATCAGCATAAAATGCAGAGGCGGGCGGATGTGACATCACAGCTGGATGTATTCTACAGATGTGGTGATACATAGCGGAGCATGCACTCCTTCCTCAGGCCATAACAGCACCATGTTGAATGAGGTACATATGGGCAAAGGAAGCATATACAAAACATAGTAGCATATTAATGGTCATATAAAAAGCATATTGAATTATCATTTTTATGACCAGTACTATGCCACTATGTTTTTTTATATGCTTTCTATATGATTCCTGTATTATTGTGGTGGCTGGGTTTACTGTCCACTGACCACTGCCTTCTTTGCCCATATAACCTCATTCAACATGGTGCAGTAATGGCCTGAGGAAGGAGCTCCGCAACGTGCTGCAATGTCTGTCCATTACATCTGGCCATCATTTCACATCCGCTCATTTCTGCATTCCATGCTGATCAGGAAGCCCTGAGAGCCTCCGGCGCAGCCTATCAGCAGAACCACAGCAGTTTCTCCACCTGGCGACCGTGACTTGTGATGGCGGCTACACATAGTGTTACATGCCTTTCTTAACGTCACTTCTGTCAGTGCATTGATTTTATGAGCATTAAAGAGTAACTCCACTTCTGTTGAGAAAAAACCTTCCTCTCTGTGTGCTCTATGTACATTTCAAGGATTTAAACAAACTTTGTTGCAGATTCCTACCTTTTGCTATTCTGACGAAAGAGATGTCCATGTGGAAAGTGAATCTAATACGATTGGTTTCATAAGTCAGCTGCTGCACCTGCAGGGCTCTAATGAGGAAAATTGCAGGGTCTGCATCCCTTTAAACATGATTTCTTATTGGAAGAATTTCATCAAAAATTTAATTTTTGTTGCAGGGGATGCCTGATATCTGACTTGCATCTTAGTGCAGACCTCTGGGAAAAACTGTGAGCCAATCACACAACCAGGAAATGATGTTGCTGGGGGGGGGGAGTGTACAGAACACCTTCAGGTAGCATTGTAGCATGACCAACTTGTGTATGCTATATTAGCTATATAAAGTGGAGTTAACCTTTAAAGTTATCTGCTACACTTAACTGGTCCTCATTCCCTTTTTTTTTGATACTCACAGACCATCTCCTATTAATATAGTGGAATTGCAAACTAAGCCGAATCGGTATAAAGATAACATTACAATACTATAAAGATAGTAAACATAACAGCAATTATTTCATTTTTCCACTGAATACCTTAACACAGTTTAAAAATGTAATAAAAAATTATACTTATCTGACCAGTCAGGTAAAGTTCATCATAATAGACATGAGTTGAATGTCCCAATCATCCATGTCAAAGGCCATCTGCAGCAAACTTTCAACCATAGTGATTGGTCATGTTTGCTTCCTTCTGCTTTATCTTCTCTGTTCACATAAACATACACTTTAGAGTAACCTGGATGTGCATGTGTAATTGGAAAACACTAGTCAAAGAAATGTTCTAGAGGTGGTATCAAGTCCATCCCATATCTTATGGCTGTGTTAAGTTAAAATAATTCTATCAGTCTGCTTAAATGTGCTACTTAGCTCTACTAGACATTATCAATGGAAGTCCTGTTCCTTGCATCAACTTCAATGTTGAATCTGAGAGACAACTATGTAGGGGAAATTATCCTGGCAAAGTACTATCAAATTGCTATGGAAAGTTCTTTTGGCCCCTGTCCATTCACTATGTTTTATGCTTCTGCAGCTCTAATGATTAGCATACATACATTCATGTATTTTATGCCATATTCTTCATACTTAACTTATGTTTGTTTTAATATATTGCCAAAGTTGGCAAAGTGTATGTCCAACCAAATCATTTTTCTTTAGTCTTTAATATTGTGAAAGGGTTAGAACCTATTGAGTTTTACTGTTAACTGGGACTTCAAAACTGGAGATTTTCCCTCACTTCTTGTTCTGCTAACAATGGTGTCATCAGACAGGAAGTAAGAGTTGACCTCCAACAGCAAGTGATACAGAAATATATGCTTTAGTTAAATAGGGGAAGTTTGGAACATCTGTTATGCTAGCCATACACTAGTTGAAAAATCGTTCAAACGGGTTTTCGAGAAATGAACACATGTTCGTGAGAGCAAAGGATATTGCCATCATGTAATGATCAAATTTCAAAGATAAATCATTATCACATAATCATCATGTAAATAAACTGGTTTTTTCATCTGTTTTTTGTTTCTGGGTCACATATGCGCAGTACCAACAGTTCAATTTTTTAACGGGCGTTACCCTTTAACCGGCTTTAAGCAGGCATTAAACACATTAACCTTTTAATTTATCCAAACTTTTCCTTCGATTTTTTTTGCTTAAAAACATCACTACCAATTTTCAATTTGTGCCCATTAACTGGATGAAAAAATTAACAAATTGTCCAAATAACAGATTTGCACATGATTGTTTTGTCTAGTGTATGGCCAGCATTAGTTTTTATTGCTGTCTGTGTTCCTGTTGTAGATTTTCCCTAACTTGACTGGTGAAACGTTTGACAGGGAAGAGAAAATAAGGGGAAATCTTGCTAATGGATAGTAGTATAACCCAACAGGGTTATAAGCCTTTTCCTACTTTACCAAAAGCTAAAATGTTTTGGAAGGACATACAGTTTAAGGTGTACCTAAAGTCAAAACGTATTTTTTTATTTTGGATGGAGTTGTTTTTTTTTCTTAATTCCCTGTCTGAGTTTAAACTTGTATCCATTGTAACTCTTTGCACTAGATGTTATATTCTGGTTGCATTCAGCATGTTTTATTCACTTATAGTTCATTTACATTCTTTTCTATTTAAAGTCCTATTATCTTATCTCTTTAAAGTTCTCATTATTCGTTTTCTGTGTCCATCTTTTAGGCATATGCTCAATATAGTTTGGCAGGAGAGAGACCTGTCCTTCACTACTCAAGGATTTCTACGAGATCCTTCCATGTTAGTTATTACATTGACTCCTCAACGAGTATGGGAGGAGGTAAGATATACTCTATCTTCTTCTTTTCAGCTGTGAAAAACTTCCTCAGCCAAGGAAACTTTCCTCTTCTCTAGGTTGGCAGGTGGGATCATGGTATAATTCGAATGAAGTACCCTGTGTGGCCACGTTATGGTACTGGTCAACAGCTTGTGACTGATACTCGTCATCTAACTGTAGCCACCTTAGAAGAGAGGCCGTTTGTTATTGTTGAGAGCACAGACCCAATAACGGGAGACTGTGTGCGGAACACCGTGCCGTGTCGCAAGCAGAGCAATCTGACTTTGAGGTAAATTGAGATAAACTGGAAGCTCACAATACAAAGCAAAGATGAAAGGTTTATTTAAAAAAAAATTTGTGGGTAGGGGCAAGCTAATTAAAATGCTAATTTAGTGCTTGAAATCTGGTAAATATATTTGGTTTACTCCTTTTTAACTGGCACATCACTCCCAATTTTTTTTTTTACTTTAATTCTTAGTAGTTCGGGTGAACCCTATTCCAAGTTGTGTTGTAAAGGATTCTGTATTGACATCTTGAAGAAGTTGGCTAGAACTGTTAAGTTCTCATATGATCTTTATCTGGTGACCAATGGCAAGCATGGGAAGCTTGTACGAGGGGTATGGAATGGCATGATTGGAGAGGTAAGAACTTGCTCTCAATAATAAAAAGAAAAAACAATCCTGCGTTACCTTTTATAAAATGTTGATATAAATACAAAATAATGTGCTTTCACTAAACAAATAAGTGGCTTCAAACATGTGATTGTGTTCCCACAAAAATAAAAACAAGTGACAATTGATAAATGCTGCACCTACTCAATAGTCAAATACAAAATTCAAATATGCAATGTCATAAAATAAACATATACACTACCAAAAATCTCTTGTGTGTTTTTTAGCAATAATAGTCTCTAAAATACTCCAAACAAATAACCCATGTGATTGTGTAGTTTTCAGTACTCCAATTGATTGATCAGTGCTCAATGGTTCCTAACACCACTTCAATACGCTCACCTCCATCTTTGCACCTACATGTGTTCAGGTCAAAGTGCACCTTCCCCTGCTGGGGATCACTCCAGATTCCACTTCCAATGCCTTTCCAGATAAAAAAAAAAAAACTGGGTTTAGTTAGCAGTAGTATATGGGACTTTTTGGAGAAATGGTGCGTATCCTCTTTAAGAGCTCGGACATGAACTCCATGGTTCTCCCCTCACAGGGGAGAGGGGTGACCACAGAGTTCATGCCTAACTTCAGTCAAACGTGTTTTAAAGAAAAAAGAAACTTGGGCTTTATAGCCCAACTCCATGATGGAAAATGTTAACCTTGGAGGTAGAGAGAGATGCTGTGTTACTTTACTGTATTCCAAACTCTGGGAGGCTTCAGCATTCTTCTCCTCTTCCTGACACTCCAGGCTGTAGGCGGCCCCTCAGGGTCATCACACACAATGCAGTGCTGTTAGTCCTGCATTGTATATGGGGAGATAAGCATGCGACCACAGACTGAAACAGTCACACTGATGGAGTAAGCCTGCTGGAGCAAGGAGTAAAGTAAGTATTACAGCTTATTACTCTACCCCTATATTTAATGAGCATGTAACCCTTGCAGTGTGGGGGGAGGGTATTTTTTTCCTTGTTCCTGGAGCTGGGCTATAAGCAGTTTGTGTACTAAAACAGAATACTATCTAGTTAAATTCTTTCACATTAAATAGGATCTTCAGTCTGTTAAAAAAAAAAAAAAATTAAAAGTCAGCAGCTATAAATACTGTAGCTGCTGACCTTTAATAAAAAGACACTTACCAGTTCAGGTTCCAGCGCTGTCTTCACCTGGGCCAGTTCTTTGCCAGTCTTTGGGTAACTGGTGCTGCCAACTTTACTGTGGAAAGCCATCTTTGACTCTTTGTGGCTTTACAGCCAGCTCACTGTGCATGTATGCATCATACTGTGCTTTGTGAATGGTCCTGCAGTCTGCTGGGACTAGACATGTGCAATTTAAATTCATTCTTCGAACTAAAATTACATTTTTGGAGATTTGGATGTATCCGAATTTCCAAATGGACATAGTGACAAATCTGAACAAATCCTAAAAAGTTCTAACAAAATTTTTGGATTCATTGAGAAAGGCCAGTTGTTAAGGAGCAGGTGGCCATCACATCCTTAACAACCATGACTCATCTGCTATCAGTGGGATTCCCCACTGCTAGCAGAATGTAAACTAAACAAGTGCTGGTTAAAAAAAAAAACAGCATGATGGTCCCCCCAATGTATACCAGGTCCTTAGGAACCCCCCCTCCCCTTTTTTTATCTGTCATTAGGTGAGTGGCGGGACACGGGACTGCTTGTATTAAGCAATATTTCTGGGGGTGTTTTCATACGTTTTTCGTGAATGATGTTGGTTCTACTTTGCAAAGCACCCCCACATGTTGATGGCATGTGAACTGGTATGGTTCAGGAGGGTGGGGCATGCTCGCTCATCCCCCCCTTTCCTGGCCTGTCAAGCTGTATGCTCGGATAAGATCCTGGTATGAATTTTGGGGAGGGACCCCACGCCATTTATTAAAAAATTTGGTGTGGCGCCCCTTAAAATTCATACCAAGTCTAAGAGTCTAGTATGGATTTTTTGTGGACCCATGCCATTTTTTTTTTACTTTGGCATGGTGTTCCCCTCAAAATCCTGAAGGACCTGATATGAATTGAGGGGGGACCTATGTATGCTTTTCTTTTTTCAAATTGTTTTTAAGCACCAGCACTTCTTTCGTTTAAATTCTGATGATAGCGGGGAATCACGCTGACAGCAGAGGAGTCATGGTTATTAAGGATGCTGCAGCGGCCTGCTCCTTAGCGACCAGGCTATTCTAAATGACATGAACTGCATACCAAAGATACAAAACAAATTCCGAAAATGAATAGGGTCCATTAGCAAATGCATCCGAAACAAATTCTTCAGTTAATGAATGCATCCGAAATCCTAACTTTTCTGCTGTCTCAAGATCTTCTTCTCCCTGCTTGCCATATTACATTTGTTTTCCTTCCCTCTCTTTACACAATTCTGCAGGTATATTACCAGCGTGCTCACCTAGCTATTGGATCACTCACTATAAATGAGGAGCGTTCAGAGATTGTGGATTTTTCAGTTCCCTTTGTAGAGACTGGAATCAGTGTCCTGGTATCCCGAAGCAATGGAACCGTGTCTCCCTCAGCCTTCTTGGGTGAGATAACCAAAATTTAACACTTGTGTCTTCCCTACAAAATATTATTCTTTAGCCTTTCTTTGGAGGTATGCATTCAAGTGGGATGGTTTTTCCCATTGTCTGTTTTCTTTGAATGGTTCATGATTCCCTGCCTCTGGTTGACATTTCTGATTTCTGAAATTGCTGATGTTGTTAAAAATTAAACTATTTAAATATAGCTTCATACTGTTTTTGTGTTTTCAGTATATTGAGGAAGGAATAATGGGATTTTTGGTATACCAATATAATAATTTTCTCGTAGCACATCACAGGACACAGGGTATCTTCAGATTCATTAAGATAGGTTATGCTGCCATCCTTAGGTGACTGGACATTGGCAGAAAAGACAGGGAATCTGCTCCTCGTTATAACATTTCTCAGCTAGACAGTGGCATCCCTAGGCAAGTGCGGGGGGTGCGCGCTGTAACAGGTGACACCTATCGCACAGGGTGACACCGGACCCGCTCCACAAAAAGGTAAGTTTTAAAGCAAGCCGACGATCCCTGCAGGATGGACCTAAACTGCAGATTGAGCATAATGGATTGGAGTCCGATCCATTATGCTCCCTAATCTGCAGATTCGATCCATCCTGTGGGGATTGTCGGCTTGCACCCTATGTGGGGTTAACTGATCTCTCCACGAGCTCCACGAAAAGGTAAGTTTTAAAGCAAGCCGATGATCCCTGCAGGATCTTAAAAATCTCAACCTAAATACATGTGCATGACATATCATCTATACATCACCAAAGCAATGTACAACCAAAGCTCTCACTTTCGCCAAGTTTCACGCAGAATTTCACATTTGCTCTTTATTCTAACTTGCTGTCCATGATGAAATAGCAGACATGGTAATGCACATAGTCAGAATAGCACCAGTTGCACAGCTTCTGATGTACACAGGACGATGTCTTTTGGCACACTGACATATGAAGGTTAGTGCTCCCTGTGACTGTGTATAGCCTTGTGCTGCCATCTGTTGGTGTTTTACAGAACTAGTCTCGAAACTTTTTGATACCACCTTGCATTTTCCTATTGGTCAAATGCTCTTAGCCTATAGTGTTAGACTATTTTTTTTATTGGTGAATGTTAACTCTCAAGGTTGAATGTTCATATGGGATTGTAAGGGAATGTTACACGTCCTTCAGCAAACAGCAACAAAGAAATGATTACAAACATAATACAAACATTATTATTCATTATGCTTGTATGAATGTTGAGACATTTGCAAAGTGATTTTTTATAAATAGACCCCTATGTGTCATTTGTACAAGTATGTATAAGTATATCATCTTTATCTGCTGGCACTGTTAGAATGAAGATCAATGTTTGCTGTTCAAATATGTTAAAAGTTGCTTTGGGTATACTTATTTTTTCACATGACTGTAGATGCATGATCTTGGCTTGGCATATCCAAAATTCTTCAGGAACTTATGCTGTTTCTGTAATAACTTACACTTATTAACTCTTCTTATTCCACCTTTGTTGACATTGCTTGTCCTACTTGCATCATTTTCTGAGATTTCACCAGGACCAGTTAACCTAATATCAAGCTAGAGCCTTTAAACAATTAAAGTTGAACTCTGAGCAAGCAAACAAATATATGGATAGCCTGTAAATATTTGTTTGTCTTTCACAATGATTATAGGTTTTATATTACATAGTTACATAGTTAGTCTGGCTGAAAAAAAGACAAAAGTCCATCCAGTTCAACCATAAAAAAAAAAAAAGTTATAATCCTACACCCACAGTTGATCCAGAGTAAGGCAAAAAAAAACAGCAAAGCATGATCCAATTTGTTCCTACAATTCCTTCCTGATCCCCCGAGAGGCAATCGGATATTCCCTGGATCAACTTTATCTATAAATGTTAGTATCCAGTTAAATTTTGTGTATCTAAGAAAGAATCCAGGCCTTTGTTAAAGCAATCCACTGAGCTCGCCAGAACTCTTGAGGGAGTCTATTCCACATTTTCACAGCTCTTACTGTGAAGAAACCTTTCTGTGTTTGGAGATTAAATTTATTTTCCTCCAGACGTCAAGAGTGAATCTTGTCCTCTGTGATGACCTCGGGGTTCACCGAGTTCACTATATGAACTACTGATGTATTATACATGCTGCTTATATCCCCCCTTAATCTCTTCTTCTCAAGAGAGAATAAATTCAGTTCCTCTAATCTTTCCTCATAGCTGAGCTCCTCCATGCCTCGTATCAGTTTGGTTGCCCTTCTCTGTACTTTCTCAAGTTCCCCAATGTTCTTTTTGTGAATTGGTGCCAATATATTGTCAATATATAGTGGTGAGATCCATATAACAAAACCTTTTATTTTTCCCTAGAGCCATATAGTCCTGCCGTCTGGATGATGATGTTTGTCATGTGTTTGTCTGTTGTTGCT